GTTCAACAGTGTAGGTGGAAAATGTGATAATAATTGAACCGCGTGTTGGACTGACGTCGATCAACAAGTCACTCAAGACCTTTCTTGCAAGGTTGTCAGCTGTTTGTGAGTCCAATTCAATCTGCACCTGCCGTTGAGTGTGTTTAGTAGCACGATGGAGCTTCCCAGTTTACGTTGATCGAGTGCGTTTTTGATTTCGCACTCACCATCCAAGTCACCTCAACCTCCATGCTTCCCAGTCAACTGCATCTCCAGGGCTCCGTGTGCAGCTTGAAGGAGGCCAAGGCACACAGATCAAACGCGGGTTGAACGGTGGAGGTGGAGCCGAACAGGTGAAAATGGAGAGCTCGGTGTGCCGAAAGATCACCTTGGAGACCTCCCGGTGAGCTGCTGCTAACAGGTTCGAACACTCACCTTTTCGCTGTTGATGTGGGGATTGGTTCATTGATGTTCCTTGATGTTCCTTGTTAGGAGGGGATGTGGAGACCAGACACCACACGCCGAGACCTAAGGAAAGAGATCACCATCGGACTATGGGGGACTTAAGCCGACTTAAGCCTCAAGAGACTTAACAACCATGGCTGCTTGGGGGGCATGTGTGGGATCGACTCCTAGCCCCCTAGGCCCCTAGCCCCTGGAATCGCAGGTGGCAACCGAGTGGGATATGCTGACAGCCTGTGTGGCCCTTCTTTGACCGATGTGGGATCCGGGTCAGAAAGCTTGCGAAGTCTTCCATTTTGGTTTGGATGTCCATGTTCAATCCAACAAAACAGGTGGCACCATGTTGCGGTGGTCGGAGATGAGATCCACCACCCTCCTGTGGTCACCACCGAATCCTCAGGAAGAAGAGGAAGAAGTGGAGGAGAAGGAGGAGGAGTCACTGGCGGCCAAGCAATGTGACATCATGATTCATAAACCCTCCCCATGTTGGATTGGGACCTTTTTATATGCGCGGGTTGATCAAGAGTCTACATGATCATGTGTTGTTCCTTTTCAACATCAGGTCACCCAAGCAATCGCATGCACCCTTGGGTTTCTATCTTTGGGGAGGGTGAAACATGTTTCCCCATGTTTCCCCTATGGTACCCCCCCTATGAGGAAGGACCTAGAGGTGCGTGTTCGGATTGGCGCAAGTTGTGTGTGGTGGGGAGGGTGAAACGGGTGAAACATGTTTCCCCTTAAGATCCCTTAAGCATCTCTATCCAGATCTCACCTGTTTCGTGTCATGGACCGGCTGAGTCCGCCCTCCCTTCGACTCAAGCAATCGTCCTGCTGAGTCGAACCTTGGCAGAAGTCAGTCGTTGCTTCCCAGCGGTTGCTTTTCGTGTTTTCTTTTCAAGTTCATGGCTATTATAGACGGGGGGGTCAGTCATGTCCAAACACAATGGGTTCACTGGCAGAGGCACAGGTTGTAGAAGGCCATGCGCCTTCAGCGGCGAAAGCCATGCGCCTTCGTTGGTGTTTGAAGCGAGGCTCGTGCCTCGCCAGTGATGCCTGATGAGTGTCTTCAGTGCTGCTCCATGCAGGAGGCCACCAAGTCTTTGACCAGAGAGAGGTCGGAGAAGAGCCTGGAGGAGAGCAGCAGCTGGTTTGCCCAAATACGTCTCTGAGACAAACACCTACCCAACTCGAGTTCCAACAGATAATTATTGGATAGGCGAGATAGACGTCGAAGGGGACAGAAGAGATCCACAGATAACAAAATAATAAGAGGCAGCTTGACACTTGAGCCCTGTTCGCACGGGTTGGACTTACCACACCTCCTCGTGTGTTGGTTGCGTTTCCAAAAACGAAGTAAAGATAGCATATAGTAAAGGAACGATATGGGTGTACAATTACTCTTAGTATCCATGTTTCTACATGTCGAAGATGTTGTCCGTGAGTTTGCCCAAGATATGGGACCTGCTTGTTATTGTCCACGATGATGCCATGCCCGCAGACAATGACACCAGCAGCCGCCGCCCTTAGGCGGCTGCCATCAGACCCGGAACCAAACACTTTCACTCTCAGTATGTTCACCTCCTGGCTCCATGCGGCAAGCCCCACAGCTCCGCGCTCGCTTCCGCGCCGCTGGGTCCGGCGGCAGGAGCCGATGAAACTTTCGGGCTCCAAGCTGATGGAGGCGGTCACGGCGGCCTCTCGGCGTGTGTCGTACCAGCAACGTCACGATCCCTGCGCTGGAGACTGGGGCAGAACAAGAAGTTGTGTGTTCATAGGGCATAGAGGGTAATTGTAGAACCTCCGTGGCGAGTGGAGGTGGGTTAAAGCGCTGTACCCCCCATGTACACCAAAGTTTATGAACTACATATTGCAGTGAAGGATGTCCACTTTACCAGTTTTTTGATTTGCTTTGACTCACGCGAGGTTATCTCCTGAGATTGACTCTGTTGCAGGAGGGTGACAGTGAGTATCGCTTCCGTCTGCAGGCATTGGTGACAAGCCGTGTAGTGTCATTGATTACAAAAATACTATCCCTATTCGCTATATAAATCCAAACACGTGCTACGTACCGATTCCAGCGCAAAGACTATACTGTACTACTGTAAATTACGAAAGCCAGCCGAGTTGATTGTTTTTGGCGGAGGCTAGTTTTAGGGTGGTTGGTGATGCAGAAGATGCAGGCCAAAGTTGTTGCGGCATCACTTGCATCACCAAGTTGCATGGGGCCACTTCCAAGATCGTCAAAAGCCCAATCATTCTATTTCCACAAGTACCACCTCCGGTCTCCTGCCACATGCACCGTCTTGATTGATGCGGTTTTCCAAGGGGCCCCAACTACTGCCCCTCTTTGACGGTGTATCCGCTCCGCGGCCGCGGCCGCCGAGGTCTTGGGGTGCTTGAAGGAGCATCCGCAGTTCCACTTGAATCGTCGGAACATTTGGATCCTGCGCCTCGCCCTGGGGATGGGGTTTCGAAGCGACCCGCGCCATGGGACACGTCGGACACAACGCGTGGGGGAGCGGCGACGTGAGGCGAGATGCACCAACCGGATGGAGGTGCTTTTGGATTGAACATGATTGAACAAAATGTTGGTTTCTTGGGAGCATGAAGGGAGTGAGGGCCACTGCGAGCAGAAGTTTGGGTGATTCATGGGTCATGGTCATGGGCGAAGCATCAGGTTAAACGGAGGCCGTGCCATTGACGTGCAAATGACATTTTAAATTGAAACTGTTTTGGGCCATGAAGACGAGATGCTGTTGACCCACAATGATTCTTTTGAACACCTGATATGTGGCTACCACATGCTACCACATTTGATGTGAAGTATCCGCATGAGAAGTGGTTTCTTTGGACGGCCCACCGCTTTTGCAGACCACCTAATCTGTGTGATTTGTGTGAATCCAAGACCTTCCCAGCACTTCATCGAATCATGAAGTGAGCACATGTGAGTGCAGAGTAAGGCATCTTGAGCAAACAAACACCAGTCAGCCATCGACTTGGTCTACATCCTGTGGGACCAACAGGCTTGTCCATTTCACCGATCCCAGCATGAAACAGCGATTTGAATAAGACATGAAACCATAAAACTATATATGAAACTTTTGCAGATCTTCACGCAGAATCTTGTGGCTTTGCATCTTCATCCCTTTTGGGAAGACAACAGGTGTTCAAGTCCGGCAGAAACGGAGTTTTTGGAAGACCTTCCGTTTAGTCAAGCACACTTCAGCACTTGAGGAACGTAGGCCCGACGTAGGCCCTTGAACCCAACTTGACCCAGTGAATTCCGCGGTTCCAGCAGAGGTTGAAGAACCCTAGTTCGACTATCCTAGTCGGGTACCCCTGGTGACGGGTCCTAGTTGAAGAAAGGCACCTGAATGGCCGTCACCAAGGAAACCTTCCAATAGCCTTCGGGGGCATGGCATTGTGGTGGCTTGGCGCTGACGGGTCGACGCGGAAGGCTGTCAATGCTGGGAAATCCAATTCTTCCGAAAAAGGACACCTTGGAGAATCAGAAAGCGCGCCAAATTGCCAAGAGAATTCAACCAGCAGTTCTATAAATAACACGCACATCATTGAACCCCCCCTTCCCTTTCCCGTAAGAGGCCGCGGATCATATGAATCATCGTTCATTGCATCCCATCCGTGTGGCCCATGGGAGAAAGCCCCATGGCCAGGCAAGTGTGTGTTTGTGTGTTTTGTCAACGTTTTGATGTCCAAGGTGGTCATTTGCTTGTTCCATGAGTCCATCAACCGTAGTACTTGTAGATGGACCTTGAGTGTAGCTCATGAAGGCCTATAACGAACAACGGTGTTGAAACTTGAAGGATGTGGACAAGGTCCGTGTGGAACTATTTGAAAGAACCAGGATTTACTTGCTTCAGTTATTTGGCGTCTTGAAACCCACCGAGGTAGGCAGATCTCAGCAGGATCCAGGCTAGAGTTCCCATTGCCTGTTCACAAGCTGCAGCAGGTCTACCTGGACACTTCCAGAACTAAGTGTGTGGTTGACCTACTGTCGCCGTTTGTACAGCTCAGAGCCGATGTTCGAGTGGGCTCCGGCGATGGCCCTGAAAAATCTCTCATGAACGACATGGGTTGCGGAGAGACAGCGAATTCATGACACGGCCAATGACCTGGAGACACCCGGCCCCGACCCGTCACGGAGTGCAGCACGAGTGCGAATCGCATTTGAACAAGCAATCGCATGTGGTCATCGTTCCTCACCACGTGATCCGGGCAACATCCAATTGCCCCCATGCTGAAAAATTCAGACAGGAACATGACAAGACCTGAGTCCTTCTGCCAAAGAACCAGGAATTTGTTGGCAACACCGAATTCTCCCAGGCCAGGCCAACCTGGTTTCTTTCAACTAAACTCGATAGGACTATTCAGGATGCGGGACAGCCAACATTCGTTCGTGGGTCCACATGTTAGAAGCTCCAGCTCAAACTTTAGACCCTTTGCACAGACGGTCGTAGGCAAATCCCCACCCAAGACCCTCGGACCCTGGCCTGTGGCGCCGCATAGCACGTGCTTCTAGCGCTGTGACTCTTCATGCGATGATCTTGGGAAAGGTGAGGAGCTTTAAGGACGGCAAGACCCATGGAAGGGTGAGATGTGCTCTGGGTTGCCCAGAGAAGGGTTGCTTTGGAAGCTGAACTGGCCGATCTCTGAAAAATGGTACCTATTTCATCCTATTTCAAAGCGGTCACCAATACTGGATCACATCCTAACAGATCCTAAATCCTAACCTGTTATTTTACAAAAATAAACATTAACATTGCCACCTCCTGAGCTTCGTCCTCTTGGCTTCGCCCTGGCTTCGGACCTCCAGCGCATCGCGGAATCGTGGTGCAGGACACCTGGGGCTTCCTCCGGTGTGACCGCGTCCAGGGCGACGTCTTCGTGGGTCTGCGAGGCGTGGCGCCTCGTCACCGGGCGGTGGCTTTCGGCTGGGGCACCCGTCGCGTGGTGAGCGTCCCGCGCACACGTCGCGTGGTGAGCGTCCGCGACAGAGCCTCTGGAGTTTTAGAGAGGCTCGGAGGTTTGCACATCCTTTAGATTGTAAAGGTGCAGTGAGAAGGGCCTGAACTCTTCTGGATGTGTGAATCTGTGACTGCCACGTTTCAGTTCACACAAAAGCTGTCCATGAGGAGATAAAGTTGCAAGAGATTTGGTCTCGCGGAAGTCAGGTGGTTGCGACCTGCGAGAAGGAACTGGTAGATGGTCAATTAGGAAATCTAGATTCATAAGATTCAAGTATATATAGACTAGATTCTCACCACTGATGGGTCTTTGGAATATAATTCTTGTGAGATCATTATGATATGTTGTGTAAACCGTTTAAGGCTTGATCCGACACATGCCGATTCTCCGAGTTCAGCAGACTCAGTGCAAAGACTCTGCGCGATCATTCACGTGAAAAAAAGGAGTAGCAGCTTAAAAAAGCGACCGTCTAGGTGTCAATGTATCATCCAAAAAAGAGCTTCTCTGTAAGCTTGTTAGCAGCTCATTGAGTAGCAGCGACCGACGCGTCGGACCGACCGGGCGCCAGGGAACCCTCATTTGACCTCGCTCGCAGAGGGTGACCAGGTCCTCTTCGACCTTCGGACGGCCACTCGTTTGAGAGGTCGGGATGAGAGGTCGATAGGGTTTAGGATCGGGGTTTGGAGGAGGTGGAGACCGGAGAGCATGGGGTGTTCTTGTGTTGGATTGTTTTAATTTGATGGATTGTTTGGGGAGGAGGCCGCCGGGGAGGCCCATGCTTGCTTCAAAAAGTAGAAGGCATGTTACATTTGTTTGAAGAAATTCATGTCGGGAGTTGGGAGCACACCAACTCACTAGTGAGGTGATGATGACCAGTCTTTAGCCAAATGGCTTTGGATGCTTTTGGGATCAAAAGCAGGATTTGCACCTTGTAGTTGAACTACCTTGAAGGTCAACCGAACAGTGATTAGGAATTGTGTGTTTCTTTTTTCACCATTTCGACCCCAAATAAGATTGTCGGTGATTGATGCTCTTGCAGGCGGGTAAACTGGCGTCACAACGTCAACCCGAGTCAAACCGATTCTCTCAGCTAGACCCACAGGTCGACTGCCATGCCATTTCAAAAAGGAACATGGACCAATTCACATGCGTCCGTCCGAATCACCACGCTCGGTGTCCACGATAGACCCAGACACAACCTGTTTGGGACTGCTATAGGACTGCCGAGAAACGGCCAGGGGTGGTGGTGCCAGACCAAAGTGTATGCCCTGTGACGATCGTTTGGCCCCACAATGCCTGACTGCTCTGAGGACCCCAAGGGCAAAAACGAAGCTGTGAACGTGCATCCTGGCTGAGGAAATAAGCACTGCTGAACTACAGTGCCACCAGCTCCAAAGTGGTAGTCAACTGGGGGATCCGTACTTGTGATCATCCACTGCTCACCTCTTTTCCTAGCGCTTCCAAGTGTCCAATGGAGACCTAGAAAGGCCTGTCCATTGGTGACCCCTTGGAAGCAGCTGGTAGGATTTAAAACTACTCCTTTAGAACTGCTTGTAGGATCCAGACTACCCCCGAACAAGACCCAAATCACAACCCAACATGAGGGTAGATTAGGAGGTGAGGGGTCGTGCCTGTCACGTGTTGCAAGTGACGTCCTTTCCTCCAAGACACATGAGTTCCAAAACTATTCCCAAAAACATGTGTCCTTGCAAGGCCAACTCAGCCAACACGTGCAAAGCTCCCCCATTAAATATGGACCATTTCTTTGATAAAACGAGTTGTGCTTCGGCAACAGGTTTTGACCTCTATACTCCGTAGCAACGGGTAGGTTGACCTCGGTAGTCAGTTCGTTCATGCTCCGTAGTCGTTTCATGTTCCGTTTCTTGGTAGTTTGACTTCGTCATCGTAGTCAGTCCATTCGGTTCATGTTCCGCCCGGTCAAGCGCGACCGGACGCTGGGCTCCCGGCCCATCCCCCACGCTCCGTTGGGCCCGAGGCAGCCGCTCATCACCGCGACCGCGGAGGCGGAGACGGGTCCTGCCACGGCGCGGGCGACGCCCGCCGCGCGCTACACCGGCCGGGCCGGGACGCCCGGCTCGTGCGGCTCCGCGAGCGAGTTCCGAGCGAGCGAGTTCAGCGGGTTCGGGGATGGGCCAAAGCGGAAGGAGCAGTGGAACGGACATCTTTGGAAAAATAGCGCCTTGGGTAGACATTTACTTTATTAATAGCAATGAATTTACCTATCTAATGTAGACTCTTGATCAATAAACCCCCTCATTTGAATGGACCGGTGGTTCATGCGCTATATGTAGGACCATATTATGTAGGTAGTCACTTGTGTGGTCTGCATTAGGAAGGATGGGGCGGCACGCGATACCACCTTCATGGTAAGCTGTGAATCCAAGTTTCTGCAAACTGCTTGCTCCCTGTTTTTTGTACACCGGCATGATTTTTGACCGAGAGAAAGTCTGAATGTGTTTTACTATTAACCGAAAGGTGTTTGCTACAACTCTGAGTGAGCGTTTCTTAAGAGGCAACATCTGGACTTTTTCGTGCGTCAAGGGATATGCGATCTGACTGTCACCTACTGGTATTTTAACCGGGAGTGTCCAACCCGACCATAGCATAAAGGATATAGCCAGTTCCACCCAGGTAATACCAGGGTCTTTTGTATTGGTCTTTTGATGCTTGGGCCAACGTAGAAGTGTGCAAAACTCCCACACCAGGCGCGCACAATTAGTACCCCATGTGCACGACCAAAAGGCTGTGCAATGAGGTTCAGGAGGATGTTCGAAAAATTCACCATCAACAGTCCAGGCACGGAAAAGGGCCCCTCATTTGAATTGAACATCCTCTTCATATTGGGGGAGTTATTCATCAAGAGTCTACATTAGTTTGCCAGCTTGGAGCTCAATTGACTCAATGGTGTTAGTTTTGATCACCGCAGATGATGTTGGCGATGCTTTTGACTGATGATGGCACTTTTTCAACATGTTTCGCATTCAGTGTTGAAAGGAGAATCCATATCAACAAGAGTTCACACCTCCAGTAACGAGCATAAACATCAACAAACAACTCTGTTTGTTTTCGCTGGGCCAGCTTAAGCTCAATAAGCAGTCCTTTGCATCTTCCGATTCATCCTCACTCTGTGTCTGGCCAGTGTGGCCCAGTACCAGAGTCTCTGCCTCAAGACTGTCTTTGTCAGACTCCTCACTCTTGGCCTTCTTCATCTTCTTCTTTGTCTTTGTCTCTGTCTTGGCCTTCTTCTTTGTCTTTGCCTGCTCAACCAGTCTTGTTGACCCAAACCTCGCTTTTCAGGTGAGAAGCTTCAGCGGCACGTGGGGCTTCATCACCTCTTCCTCCTTCGAAGGCCACCGAGAAGCAAGCAGAACTCCAGCTCACATGAACCTCAGACGTCACCTGCCACCACTTGGGACTGTGAAGTCCTCACCTGGAACATCCTGGAACATTTGACTTGTCGAAAGACTGTCCAGAAGTGGCGCAATCAGATGATATCAGTTTCCATCTAGACCATCCATGTATTTTCCAGAGTTCCATACATTTAGCATAACCCCTGTTTATATATGACCCAAATACTTACGGGAACCATTCCATCAGCATGGATGCAGCTGGGGAACCAAACCAACCAGCCCGGACCCCAAACCCGCAGAAACGCACCGATCCGACGGACCTATCGCGCGCCCCGGGCTGAGCGGTGGACCCGAGGCGATCTGTTTGTGGGCTTGAGGAACAACCCGCAGCTGTCAGTGGCACTGACAGCCGGAGATGAGGCGAAGTGGAAGTAGTATACAGCACTGGGGACGAAGGGTGTGAGTCACAACATTGAACTTCAGGTCTTTTTTTTGCCTTTAGGTGGTATACAGTATTGATCAGTATTGTAGTTTGATTTTTTTTTGTGTAGTCATGTTATGTAAGATATTTAAGATGGAGATGTACTGTCCCGTCCCTTTCTCAGGCTCATTTGAAGTGTCATCGGTCAATGTGGGGCGTCTTCCCCTGTCTTTTCCCGCTTGGCTCAGGTCGACTTCGCCATCCGCCGGGTGGACGGCAAGCAGGAGGCCATCGAGGTGCGCTTGGTCAACGGCCACGCGCCGACTGCCAGCGCTCCTCCCCACGCGGAGCGAGCATCTGAGCGCGGATCCGCCGCAGGAGCCGCCCAGGTGCTGACTCGATGGCCTATCCTGTTGGAGTCACCAAGGTTTTGGATCACAAATCTTATCAAATCTTAGTCGTTTGGTAGCCAATGGTAGCCATATCCTATCCGATACCTGATTAACTGGATCACTTATGATCACTTATATATTATAGAATATAGCAATTTGGGCATGCTTGGTATTTTTTGAACATCTATGAGAAAGATGTAGCTATGACGCCTGAAGGTGAATCTTCCATTCCATGGAGTATTTTGGTGTTATGAAGCTTGGGATTCGATTGCTTCGGTGATCTTCGATGTGAGTTGCAGAAGAGGGTGCAACAGTGGAGAAACAGGGAGGGTGCTGGGAAAAGGCGTTTTCCATCATCCTCTTCAGTCAGAGTTCTGGAGAGACTTTGGGACATGCCCTATACTCTCCAGAAGGGAGCGGATGTGAGTGGCGTTTGGGTGGATCACAGAGTTCAGGACGTGGATTTGGGGTGCGGTTTAGGGTTTCAACGGTCAACGCACACCATGACAGAGCGCCACTTGGGTAAGCAAAGACCATGAAGGGTCCAGCATCTCGCAACCCTCCAAATCATGACTAAGACTATATATATATAATATTGAGAGTCAGCCACTCACATCAACCTCACCAAACCTCAAACCTTGGACAGACCACCTTTAGTCCCCTCCACTTTCTTCCACTCACAGTGCCCCCCCTTTCACTGGCTTTCGCTCCTCATCACCCTCCACACCCTGCTCCACACCCTGCTCCATCCGCCTTACCACATCACCCCCCACCTCCCCGAGCCCTCGCCTCGAGCCCACCGCCACCGACCAGGAGCCGAGGAGGTCCGTGCCACGGAGACCGCCCTGCGGCCGCTGCTGGGGTCGGAGCTTCAAGGCTCCGTGCGCAGCTTCCGTGACCCCTGGGGCTCCGAGATGGAAGCACTGAAGAGCGAGACGGAAGGGTAGGTGGGAGGGGTAGGTGGGAGATGACTATGGGATGGCATGGGGGGAATGTCAATGTATTTGTATTGCTTGTATATAGGGTGAGTGGGGGTTTGGTTTGAGTATGTTTGAGTTTTTTTGGACAGAAGAATGGCGGTTTTGGGAGGTTGATCTTGGAATCTTGGGGGTATGCCGCCAAGTGACTATACTTACTTTCCCAAACATAATTGCGAGTATAATATTTGGAACCCCCACAGCCCCAACGGACCACCCAAACTGATCGGCAATAGTATCGGCAATATATGGCAGTCCGCAGTCCCAGTGGCAGTCCCATGGAGTGTCCGGTATACACCCCGTGACGAAGTCTTCGCCTGGGTGGTATGGACCTGGAGCCTGGGAACCGGACAAAAGATGGCCATCCACAGTGAATCCACAGTGGTCCTACCAGTGCACCAGTGACAGTCAGTGACATGTTTCGGACACTTGGGCGCCCTGAGGCTTTGTGGTTTCGGAGTATTTCGAAGGTGATCTCTACCTGCACAAGCGCCACAACCCCAACCTGGGGCCGGTGCAAGCAGGAGATCCCCTTCGCTTCCAGGCGTCATTTTCGTCGCCGCGAGAGTGGGTGCGAAGGAGGGGACGAGCACGGCACGCGCGCGGCGCAGGGCGCGGAGATGAAGGAAGGATTTCAAACAGCAGGTTGAGACAGTTGAGGGCTGAAAACCATTCAACACCTAAGGGGCAAAACAGTTGTGAGAGTATGAAATGAGCGCTCAAATGGGTATAGTCGACTATATTGTTTAAAGGTTTGATGGTTGACGAACGGCTCAAAGTTTCATCACTGGCGTGGACTCTATTAAAATAAAAATATCCTTCCTCACATAACGGGACAAATCCTGAAACAAATGAATAGATATATGAAGATGATAGTTACGTTAGAAGACTTCTCTCCGCTTTGTCCTCTCAACCTGGCCTTTGCGAAGTTTTTGAAAGATAAAAAACTATAAAGAAGTGAGGACTCCCTCTACCAGCTGGATGGGAAGTGGTGGAGTGTAGTTCTGGCGCATTGTTTTCAAAAAAAAGGCTTGAGATACCAGGAGGAGCTTGAATTGAAGAAAGTCACCCACTTGCCACAACATCCCACAAGCGGTACAGTATTGCACCACCCCCTTTAGCCACCATCCTGTCTTCCATTCTTAGTGAGTCAGAGCATTCGGATCACCGGTCAGGTCCAGTTCGAGGTCATTTGGCAGCGGTCCAAGGAACGTCCAGATCACCGCTTTGTTGGAACATTTGTTGGAAGATTTCTTCGAGTTTCTTCCACCCCAAACCGCATCAAACCGCAGATGCACCTCATCAGTCCAACCGAGGGTCTTTTTGCTTCGACCTTCGACCCCCTTGGACCCCAAGGTCGCCAACATCCCGGAAGTGTGCTGCTTCTGATCGCTTTCGCTTGCGCAGGTCAGTGAAGAACCAGCCTCACAATTTCAGGCCATCGAGGCTACGGTGATCAGCCAAGAGTTGGAGATCTTGGTGGGTCAGCGCTTGTTTGGATGGGTGAAGCTTGGAGCGGAGTGGAAGGATACAGCATGATACAGCTTAGGTGGACATGGAAGGAACGGACCTGTTTCTCAAGCTTTTAGGTTGTTTTTGTTGCTGGCAGTTTTTGGTTCCACAATATTCAACTTAATTATATTGTCGTCTCGGGGTGGAGCTTTCTTTGGGAGGAGCTTTCTTAGGGCTCCTGAACTCCCGGAGATTTGGAGTTCGATCCACCGACTGAGTTCGATCCCCATCTCAAATCCCAAGTGGTGGTTTAATAAATAGGGACTGGTCAAAAACCGTCTTGGGGATGTGAGCCAAGCGTTCTGAGGGGGTATAGTCATCCTGGAGTAGAGAGAAAGTTGGAAAGTCCAAAAAAACAAATAGGAAACAGGTGATATGTTCTGCGAAAACTCACCGAGGAGTGTGGAGATGTGTGGGGTGTGGTCACGCTAAATACGTGGGGTGAGAAAAGAGGTACAGTATGCCGCCACCAGATGGGTGTTGTTGTAGTGTTGGGCGTTTCACCCAGCAAAGTTTCCATCTATGCGAAGGAATCGGCACCCTTTTGAGTATATAGTAGCATAATATAGGCATAGTATCCAAGCAACACAGTTATATAACCTATAGTCAGTCCTATAGTCTATAGTGAACACATTTCATGCATCATAAGTCTACTAATTAAATTAATCAGTTGGTGCGGTCCAACCTTTGCTGATTCTTCAGTCTTGTGTTCTTAAAATGTGTTTCGCCTGATTCCACCTGTTTTGCTGGGCGCTTCCTCAGGAAGAGCTACAAGGACTCCTGGGGCTTGCTTTCTTCGCTCCGCTTCCCCGGCGACCTCTTCGTGGGCCTCGGCCCCTCGGCTGTGCCGATCGTGAAAGGATCACGAAAGCGTTTTCAGCCGGTGACTGGGTGGTTTCAGAATGTTTCAGATCTGTACAATCCCTAGGGCTCGAACCATACCCTCAGAAGGTGGTTAGACCCCCCTGGCACCCACCATAACCATTTTCTTAGGAGGTAGGCCAGGAGCCCTAGGGAATATAGGGAGACCACTGGCCTGGCTGGGTAGACTCTATCTTCCTGACCTCCCAGCAGCTCGAACTGGGGTGGCTGTCCTTGTCCTAAACACACGCCCAGATGACGGTGAGTCAAACCCTGGAGCCACTTCCCCAGTAGTAGGGTGGACCATGTCAGTCTTTTCTGTCGTCAACCAGGGCGTCCCGGTTTTGACCTGGTGGGATGAGCTCCCGTTTTTGGACCGGTTGGCAAATTGAAACCACCCCACCAGGTGACTTGTTTGGCAGAAGAGAGACGCTTCTCCCAAAGATGTGTGTGAATGTGTGTGTTGTGTATGTCATGTTGATTCAGATTTCTCTCTTGGAAGGCTCTGAAAATCGATGAATTGTCCATTTCCTGCATGCATATGCGCGTATGCATGGTCTTTCAAAATGGCAGAAATGGTGGGGATTCCCATGGATGTTTGAGATTTTGAGGAGGGGGGGGCTGAAACTCTTTTATAGCAAGCTGCTAGCTGCGGCCGGGGCCAAACTGGTTTTGCAAATGAGTCACTGTGTAAATTGTGCATGTTCTGCAACATGGTTCCTGACATGCCATGCATTGCTGGGCAAGGTGCCTACATGGCACAGCACACAGCACAGCATACCGAAATGGTCTCCATGGTTGGCGAAAACCTTACCAGCATCGTTGCCAATCCCAAGAATTTGTGCTTTAGCAATGCCGTCAACATGTTCTGAAACTGTTGGAATCAGCGTCCCACAGCCGAGATCTGCCGAGATCTGAGGAAAGAATCCACAACTCAAGAGCCCCTTGCGACCTGGGGACGGCGTGGTGTTCAACGTGGAGTTTGATGAGGTGCGGCCCGCCCGTGCCGTGGAAGGCGCACGCGTGGTGAGAGGAAGGATTCGTGCAGCCTGTTCACTCTGACTCATCGCCTGAGAGTATGTGTATATAGGCATAGGCCCTATAATATAGGCATGTATACAGGCTTGACTCTATAGTATAGGTTGGAGTTTTGTGCATTGCTTCGAAGGTGAAATGATATGAAATGCTCAGCTGGAGCATAGCACGCTATCATCATGCCTGCGTCTCCAACTAAGTCTTCCTTCACCCCTAAAGGCAGTTGCTTCCAAACCACACACATCCAACTCATAACCCCTCCCCCCACCCAAAAAGCCTGTCCAGATGGACTCAACCGCGTTAAGAAAGCACCTATAGAACCGCCACCATGTTCCATCGCGTGACCGACGTGTGCCTTGCGATGCAAGCCAAACGCACGCCTTCTCGAGGCCAAGGGGAAGTTCCAGGCCACCAACGTGACCCGCACGGGTGGCACCGTCGAGCTCGACGTGCGCGGTGCGACCCGCGGACACGACCGTGGCGCGGCCGCGGGCAGGGCGGCCATGGCCGTGGCCAGCGAGGTGACTCGGTGGGAAGAACTGGTAAACAGGAGGTAAAAAGTGAATAGACAGCCCAAGACTTTTTTGGGAATGGGGACCTCAGACTCAGTTGGCTATAAGATGAACAGCTTGAAAGGGAGCCTTTTTGTTCTGTTTTTGGATCTCCCGGCTGGGGCGTGAGGTTAGATTCTTCTGCGAATCTACCGCAGGTTTTAACCCCCTTGAATTGATGACAGAGGGGAGATCCATAGCAGTCCATCGGGCGAATCCATGTTCTTCGAGGTGGCTGACCAATTCAAGAGCAAATCCTTCAAGCGAATTCCCCCTTTACAGACCCGAAAATAGATAGAACATGATAGAACAGTATAGAAAAGTAGATCTCCACCAAAGATGTATTTCGATTTCTATCTCTTTGGAGACCACTCTAAGAATCCTTGGGCCCTCCATGGCGGTGCCGACACCGACACCGACACGTCCGGGCAGTCCGGAACCCGTCCGGTTCGGGCGCAGTCCGATCTTCCGAGAAACCCCGCCCCCAGGGATCCAAGTACCTTCTCAGGTACGGTGAGGAAGGAGACTATTTATGCAGGCTTGGAGAAACCAAGTACTTCCTGAGGTTCGGCATGTGGATCCCGGACCATGTGTTTGATGTGTGTGTCTCCTTGGGCGTGACCACCTGGTCTAGCTTGCCTGAGGAGCCCTTGTCCTCGAGGATGATTGGAGACTCAGCGAAACGGCTGGGGTCGTGGAATTTGTATTATAGAGGTGGTGCAATTCCTGCATGGGACACATAGCACTCCCAAGTCACCTATTTGGTGGGAGAGAGACTTGATAGGACTTGGTTCGATCAACAGGTCAAGAATAGAAGGTTCCGAGAGCTCAAGAGCTTTCACCACCTCAACGGGTCGGCAAAGGATTCATCTCATGTGCAAAACAGGTTCCCCCCCTTTGCCACAGGCGGGTTCATTCTTGGATGGGTTGCACCTTGGTGTGACAATAGGATGAACCAAACAAACCTATACTTGTTTCCTCCAATCTGCCAGGAAGGCGGGTGTTTGGTTGCCCCCCAATCAGCCTCCTCCCCCGGGGTCGGCATGGATTGGGGCTGAAGAAAGGTAGATGGCAGTATAACAATGTGAACTTGAGTGGTTTGAGGTTGGTGGTGGCTTTAGAGTCGTGGTGTACTGTTGAAAATCTCGGTATGACCCTCCACTTGGCTGGAAGATTTATTGATCTCACAACGTAGGGTTTCAACATGTTTTAACATGTTTCAACCAAGACTGTTCAACACTTCTTCCCCCAAATAAGGCTGCTGTGGTTCACTTGTATAGCCCAACAGCCCGTCCCACCTGTAAGGAGAACGATGCTCTGGCGTCGTGAAGAGCTTCCGAGACGACTGGGGCTTTGTGAACTCAGATGCGTTTGAAGGAGCCATGGCTGTTTGGAGCTGGAGGGATTCGGAGATGTGCAGAGGGCCTGCTAGGGCCTGATGAGGAGCGATTCGCAGCAGCGCGCTGCAGGTAAGGAAGCCTTTGGAATTTGCTTGTCACATGAGCCTTTGATCATTTGCCTTCAAGAATCCGCAAAACTGCGGTGGCGAGAACCAGTAAGCCACCTCCGAGCTCATTTGACATTGAATCTACATGACAAGTGGCTGAGGCGACTTGTTCCTTCACTTGGGCTCTAACCCTGGGCTCACACCCTTGCAGCCAGGCAGGGTAGGGTAAATAGAAGTGAGGTTCAGCAAGTTGGACCAAGCAGATGTACCACTGGTTTTGGATGGCATTGTTCCCCAAGATGTCTTAGACTGATGGGTCCTTTTTTTTCACCTGCAAACTTGGACATGTGTGCCATCATGTCATGTGCTATCTAGTCCTCTCAATCCACAACAAGACATATGCGTTTGTCTCACAACTGCTTGGGAATCAACTTGAGAATATCTTCTTTCTGCAGTTTCCACGGAGACCAAGAAAACGAGTCCAGACAGAACATGGGAGAAACCCCGGCAGCCCTAGCATACGTGAGACAGCCCAGCATGGTTCCAGCATTTCATACATCAATTCATCCCCCAACATTGATTTTCAAGATTTTTCAAGGCCTATTCCATCCTAACATCTACATCGCGCAGCATGTAACAAATTGAAGCCCTGCCCATCCCACTCACATCCATTGGTGTTTATTTATATACTGCCTATAGCCTATAGACTTGATTCTATTTCAACCCTCCCATGAAGAGGATTTGTGAACAAATCCATGGTCCATGTTTCTATTTCTATTGATCAAGAGTATTTATACATTTAAAGACATTTAAAGACTTCTTGTGTATTTTTCTAGGACTTCCCAGCCCGGCAGGCGAAGTGGTGGACTTCACCATCTCCTCCAGCGGCGAGAAGCTCCACGCCACCGACGTGCGCCGCGCCGCGCCTGCGCCACGCTCGGCCGCGATGGCACCAGGCACACTGAGCCTGCGGGACCTGGTGGGACAGCTTTGCGCTGGGACGGTGCGAAGCTCGGTTTGGTGAGTTTCGGTGTGCGATGAGGTGGCCCTTGTGATGTGTGTTTTTCATTTAACACATGTATTGTGATCTTTTTTGTGATTTGTGATTTGATTTCGATTTGCATGTTCTTGTTTTCTGCCTTTGTGTTTCCAGGCATGTTGTGGTATGTGGGTGCACGGTGGGGTAGAAAGTTGGGAAAGTGAAGTGGTTCTTAAAAGGACCGTATGAGCCGAAGTGAGGCCCTATGAGCCGAAGTGTGACCAGCCTGATGCGGTGGAGTACAGCTTTCAAGTGCTAGCTTCTATCTATGCTTTGGGGTACATGAATGCATCAACATTCAACAGCCAAACTTTCCAAGTGCACCCACGTTGGAATCAACAAGTATCAGACACTAGTTCCCGAGCTTGGCCTTTGAGGATTGTGACCAGTTCATCCTTTTCGTTAGCATTCAGCTGGGCTCCATGTTCCACAGGCCTGCCAAGCACCACCTAGTCTCGGAAAATGAAGGCCTCCTTCACTGGGTGGGTATACAACCTATCTTGTTGCATAGGGGTATATAAGATACAAAAGCCACCAAGAAACGAACCACCAGGATCACCCACCAGCCGAAGCTCCGGGAGGGCTCAATCACTCGACGCAAAAGCGCTGATCAAAGCGCTGATCATTTGAAGCGCTGCCTGAGGAAAGTTCAGCGGAGAGTGGGGTTTCATCAACTCGAACCACTTCGAGGGCGACTTGTTCGTCGGACTGAAGAGCTCCTTGGGCGAACCCCACAGACGCGAACCACTTTGGGCATGGACTGAAGTCGTGTAGGGCGTGAGGAAGTGGGTGGTTTGCGGGGAAGAGCAGGTCATCTCCCATGGCCACGGGCCAGTTATGGATAGCATGCAGATCTGCATGCCAGGTGCCATGTCGGTTGCTGGGCATCGCTGCGCGCGCTTGGCGCGCGACCGTGCCCCCACCCTTTCCGAGCGACCGAGCAGGCAATCCTCACTTGATGGGGCCTTTGTTGGCTGGTGACGTGGTGGAGTTCAAGGTCGTCAGGGACACTTGGCCGCGGGCCGCGGGCGGCCGCGGGCACCTCAAAAGAAGATGGTGCTTTTAAATGGGTGATGAAAGGTGTCCACCAGGTGGAGGCCCGCAAGCCTATCATCATGCGGACTACCCTGTATTTTCGGGAATGTTTGATGACTTCAAGAGTGGATAGCACAGCTTTTCAATGAACAGTTGGCACAAGCAGTTTGTAGTGGCTGTTGAATGAACAAAGGTTACAATCTCCCAGCAATGTTTGTGGGTTTGCGCCTCATCTCTTGAGCTCGCAACATAACTCTTGCGCTCGCATACTCTTTAAGATCGGGACGAGAGATAGCAACTGATTCCTCTCTGCTTTGGGGAACCCTCAGGGCATGAACATAACAAGTTACCAGAGGATGCGCACCTAACTAAAACCTACAAACTGATTCAGCGTAGCTGGCACAACTGGTGACAGACCTGTGTCCCACAGACATGATCATGGAACTGGCTGAGATGGACATGCTTTCCTCATAACAAGAAATGCCTTCCTCTTATCAACAGACAACTATTTTCCTCCACCCACAGCATTTCTCTAAAAAAAAATAAATGCCACCAGCAAGCACTACATGGGACCACCAGGAGTCCTCCTTCCCCACCAGAAGTGCACGTTTCGCGCGTAGCGCCTTGTCGCACGTTTCGCCGCGACACCCTGAGGACCTGACCAAGCGAAGCCGTGACACCGAGAGCTTCGAAGCCTCCAATGTCGGCATGCGGCAGCTGGAGAGTGGGACGGAGAAGTGTTACATGCTGTAACCGTAACCTTCGCCCAAGCGAACCATACAAATGTGGAGTTGATTGTGTCTCTACAAACCCGGACCCTAGTCGACTCTCCATTCCATACAATAGTACTTTTACGAAACACCTTATATGGAATATGTGCATGTTTTTGCAATTCAATCATTCAATCAATTTCAGGACCCTTCAATCAAACTAAAACACAACATGGCCGATATCCTACCTAACGATCGACTCTGGACACATTGAAGAACCCCTATATATACTGTATAATAACAACAAAGGCTTCTGGATTTCACTATTTATATAGGAACTTTGAGTATGATACCCATACCAAAACCGAACTTGCTCAGGAGGATTTGTTCAGCCTTTGACAAACAGGGTTTTACTCTATGATCATCTGGTATTTATTGCATATGTCTTCCGTCTAACTTGCTCAACATATTCCAATGAACTATGAATTGCATGAACTCTTCCATCAACTACCACGAACTTGCACATTCAATCAACAACTACAGTACCATCCGAACATTCCCCAGGTCCTGGTGATTAGCGCTGCCCCCATGCCCGGCATCACCACGCCCGCTCCGCCGCTGCCTGTGCTGCGGGGCAGCGCGGGCGCGCCGCGGCGCGAGGCGCGGCCGCGGACGCGGTCGCCGCGGCGGGCGGCTTGGCGGCAGCGGTTGGGATCAAGTCGAGTTCCGCAACTGCGCAGGATTCCGCAACTATTTGGTCGGATTCCGCAACTGGGATTCCGCAACTAGGATTCCGCAACTGGGATTCCGCAACTGGGATTCCGCAACTGTCAGGATTCCGAAACTAGG